ACTCATACATAAATATATATATATATATATATATATATATATATGCAATTAAATTAAAACTTGTACAAAGATGTAGTATTATATGAAAAATATCTAAGATTATAAGATTATATAAGAATTATATATAAAATATTTTATGCATATCTCAATGCAAATGAAAACTTTTAATGAAATATTTTCTGTGTACTTACATAAATTCTGATACATACATATACCTATATTGTAAATTTTATGAGTAATTTTAAATACTCAAATTTAATAAATGTCAGTAAAATTAAAATAAAAATAAAAATATGAAAAATAAAAAAAAATGTTGTTTTAGAAAGAATCCTTGCTGGTTTCATGGCATATCTAATATTTTATAAGTAATATATGCCATATCAATAAGTGCAATTTTTACAGATGCGTTGACGATTTTTATGATTAGAAAATTTTCCTTTCCAGTCTTGACGCATAATTTAACTTAACCTATCTGTGAAAAATGGCTTTAAGTAAAACAGTAGTGCCGTAACTAATGTATGTTTTGCTTGTGAATTAACTCCACAAAAGTTGATGTTAAAGGAAGGACCAAAGTAAGTTCCATATAAATTCTTTTTTGAATGCAAATCCTTTTCAATTCTGTATTACTCTATTCCGAGTATTGAAATCCATTTAATGCGCTTTTATTGTTTACATAGGTTTTTGAAAGGATTCATAGTCAAAGTTGTATGCATCAAAAAAGGCGACTACCACAAAATAAGCAGTGAACAATCATTTTTGATGAAACATAGCCTGGAGAAGATATAAACTTAAATGCTGTCTCAGTGAAAGCAAACGTTCATTAATGACACTTCGATTAAAATGAAGTATTTTTCTCTTGGTTGCTGATCTCAAACCGAAAAATTGAAACTTTAATGGGTTAATAAAATATGTTTCTTATTGAGCGGTATGAGCTTCATATCTTCAGCAAATTACTACGAATAAATAGATTGAAAATATTCTCATATTCTTCACCGAATTCTTCATCCTTCTCTATCGCAAAAAGGAATGCTTCAAATACTTGCATGAAATAAAAGCGTTGTTTTCCCACTGGATTAATTTAAGAAATATTAGAAAAATATTTTCAAATATGTGTTCACATATTTGAGGTAATCATATTTATTTATTTATTCATAACATGTTTGCTAAAGAAACGAAATACGTATCTCTTAATATAAAAAATACCACAAAAATCGTAGGAAAAATTCTATTGTCTCTAAAAAAGCGCAAAACAATAATTTTTCAAAGGTGCAAGCTTAACTGGATCTTGAGTAAAATCGAACTTCATTGATAATAAAAATAAAATATTTTTGATGTTCAATCGGCTTTTGTTAGAAACTTAAAAATCTTCAATAACATAACCATCCCACCGAATTAAGTTAATTTAATAGGTCTTTCATTTTCACCGATGAACACTCTGATGAACTATCAGAAAAGTATCTCCCGAAGAACCTTTAACTTCTGGACACCAAAGTTGGGCATTCAAAGAGAAAATGTGTTATGGTTTCTTTCTCTTGCGGGTTTCCAAAACTTCTGCAATGAGGATTATGGAAAATGCGCAGTTTATCTGCGTGAGTTCCTGCACACCAATGACCAGCAAGAACTGCAGTGAGCCTTGCAGTGTTCACACTATCTCTTTTACTGAGTTCCGAGGACATATTCTTTTATTATAGTTGGGCCATATTAACCTGAAAGTTGCACATGACTTAAGTGCTTTCCATCTGTTATTGGCAAATTGAAGAAATGGAGTAATAGAACAAAGTATAAAGAGTATAATAGAGTATAAAACAGTAACATTTTTTTTAATAATTTTTGTATATCTTATAGAATATTGCTTAGTTTTTATTGTAATAATATATATCAGTTAATATGCTAATTTCTCTTAAGTAAATATAAAAAAGAGGTAGTATTAAATATATATTTGAAGCTGTTTAAAAAGAAAAATCAGTTATTTTCTATGTTGAAATTTTTTTTTGATGTGGTTAGTTGGCACTCTGACTGTTATTTATTCATATTTCTTATTTTTTTTATTGTTAGAGTTTTCTGTTTAAACTTTGTAATTGAGCAGCACTTTATATATATATACTGAATTTTTTTTTTAAATTTAAAATTGTATGTTTCTATAAAGTGATGATGTCATATTCTATAAAAATGTGAAAATATGTATAAGTTCACTTTATAATGTAGTCCTTTACAAGAGGTTTCATTTTGTTGTACTCAAATTATTCAGACGGACATAGAAGAGTAAAATCTAGTGTTGGCATTTATTTTCCACGGCAAATGACATGAAGCTCTATATAAGAAAAATTTTTACAATGTCAAAATTTTATAGTAACACATTCTTTCAGTATGTGATTTAATGTTAATTTTTCATCCGAAATCGATACCAGAACTCTGCAATTTCCGACTATATAACTGAAGTAATAACGCAGTCCTTTTTAAACTTTTCACCTAAAGTTGTTTATAATGTATTGTATAAATAAAAGCATTGACAGTTTTTTTATTAAATTAAATTATTGACTACAAAATACATATATAGAACATTCAATAAAAAAATATGCTCTCATTATAGTTATGTGTGCATTTAATTATGTAGTAAAGTAAGTCGCAGACAGTGCCAATGGCGAAGATTATTATAAAATGAAAATCAAATATTGTCAAACTTAAGTCAACCATAAAGCAAATAAAGTTTTATTAAATTTGCAGAAATTTACAATGAATCAATAAAATATTTATCTAGAAGCAGAAATTATACACAAACTGTAAAGTCAATCATGTGGAATTCAGTCATATGAAAGCCTTGATACATTATTAATTAATCCGACTGTGTTGCACAAACACTTAATATAACTTAATGGCCATTATCGCTATGATAATGCTGAATACCATAATTGAATACCATAATTAAATTCAATATAATAATTATGATTACAATTGTATTCATTATCATATTAATATTAATATGCTGTGATATTATAAAAAGTTAAGTAGTGTCTTTATAAATGCAAAACCATTAATAATAAAATTAAATTTAATTTACTTTTTGTCACTTATCTCAATATTAATAATAATATATGAAGGTTTTTATTAAGAGCAGTGACAATTTATTTATTGGAATCCGTAAGTTTAAATCATATTCACGAGCGCATATACACACACCATAAAATATTTATTTATTTTTATTAAACAGTTAATATTAAAATATATGTATATATAATATTGTATGTTCCATTAACAGATTAATCGTAGCAGCTTAAAATAAGTCTTTTTCAACACTTTAAAACGCAACTGCTTTTTTTACTCATGGCGTATGAGTAATTTTTTTTTGGTTGGGGGTTACTGCTTCATACATGCATTAGTGCAAAGTAAGCATTGTTCGTATTATCCAAATAAAGCATTTAATTATGTTATATTCACTGGCAATTTAGTTGCGTTATTCACTTGCTTTACTATTGAAATTTCAATCAGTTTAATTGTATTTTGTAACAACAATCAACAAAAGGTTTTAAGCAATTTGCGGAATTTTAAGCACTGCAATTTGCATACTAAATTCCTCCTTCCTTATTTGAAGTTTTGGAGTGCAGCATCGCAAAGTACTTCTGAACCAACTCGAAATTTAAATACGTGGGTGTAAAAAAGTTACTAGTAATTGTGCTTTCTGTTTTCGGTGTTATTTGTTTATGACATTTCTAAAGAATTTTTAAGGAATGGTTTTTGCATTGGCATGGGTATATGTCAGTAATACATTTTTGATTTATGTAATCCAATATTGCGAATATCTATCCAGCACCACTAAATAATAGCTACATTGATTTTAAATGATTCTTACTTCCTCTTGATAATATATTGATGGTCTTAATTGCATAAAATGTACATATACTCAGATGGAATACTGCATGCTATTTTTAATTAGTACCTTAATATATTTTATAAATGCAGAAATTGGTTAGAGTTCTATGCTCATCTCAGTCGGACAATATATTTACATGTATGCAGTGTATTATTAGTGACAACTCAACTAATACCCAGATATATAATACTATTTTCGTAGGAATCGAATTTCCATCATTATCATTTTATTATTCGCATTATGAATTGACCTACAGGTACTATTGATAGCAATAGTCCTCGTTATTATTCATTATTCAATCGATTTTAATATTCAATAAAAGTCAAGCTATTGTAGTATTTTAACAAAAAATTTGGTGGCATTATTCTTGATATGTCGAATATAAAAAATAAAATTGCTGCAATGAAAAATGGAGAGATGTGTAAAGATACATAAATATTCTAGTTAGAAAAGTATTTATTTTGCACCTAATGGTAATGAATGGTAGTGGTAATGGTAATTTAGTGAATAATAATGAAATTTATTAGAATTTTATCAAATAAATATTAGAAATATATAATTGCAATGAAACAAAAGCATTGGGCAAACTATGAGGGCAAATAAATAAATCGAATACAATCTGTCATCTCTCTGAAGTATCTGTATCTATCTTTATCTAAGTACATATCTATCGCTGTATAATCTAAAGATTTAAGCATCATTATGCTGTATTAATAATAAGACCAATTGAATTTATTGTAGAATAAATGAAAGTGAGAACTTATATGATCAATTCAAACGACAACTACACCCGTTTTTGTCATAAGCGCATAAATAAAATATATTTATATATATTATTTGTGGTGATAAAAAAAGTTAATATGTGTAATTTTTTTAAAAATTTTTGAGAAATAATTTCTTTTATTGATAATTGCTGTTAAAAATTTTAAAATGACCACTATTATTTATGCCTTTTTGCCTTATTTTGAGTAAGTGGATAATGTCAGCGGTGAAGAGGTTCTACCGCTTAACCGCCAAAAACTTGACCAAGTGACTTTCATCTTTAAAAATAATAATCTGATGGTATAAGATCCATCCATTCGATAGATGTATAAAAACTTTGTGAATTTGTTCATAAAAGTCATAAAAGATGTATCTGGATATTGTCACTACTCCGTTAGCAAACTCTGGTCGCTTTTCCTTAATTGTTTCGTTCAAACCGTAGCGTTGTGAACTGTAGAGGATGAAACACCAAGATAGTGGTACCAAGATGGAATAATTCATAATAGATAATTTATTTTCAATCCCACCAAACACTAAACATAGCCTTGCTTTGAAGTCGTTTGTTGATGGTCATTGGTCTTTAATGTTTATATACTATGTAATTTTAAAAAATTTATTGTTTTAATGATCAAATATTTCTTAATAATAATTTTGTTTGTTTATTATTCTATTATTATTTTATTATTTTACTTAATTAATTTTTCATCAATTGCTGTTGGTTCAATTACTATTGGTAATTGAATGTTGATAATATTACCAATTAAATTTATTTGCTTTAATATCCAAACATCAAGCGTCTTTGTCTAGTCTGTTCTTTTTTAAATGACCCCAAATTATCACGTGGTTGATGATTAATATCTCTGGTATCTTTCAACAATTAGGAGATCGGAAGTGTTGGGCTAGTTATTAAATTTTATCAACTTTTTTAGTGATTATCCGATTAGAAGTGACATCCCGGAAGTATTTTAGAAAAAACTTTCAATATATTAACACTTTGACATATAATATGTTTATTGCTTTTAGTGGTCTTTCCTTCAAATTGATTTAAAAAGTAAGAGTCACTCAACAAATTCTAGATATTATTTATATGAAACTTACAACTCCACTGAAATAAGTGATATATACTTAAACGACAATGGAGTTTATACTTAAGTAGTATGAGACAAAATAGTACAATAATAGAAAAAATGATAACATAAAATATATGATTTTTGAAGAGTTTTTATACAAGAGACTTAACTTCGTATTTACATATTAAACGCATGTTCAAAAAAAGTGCAATATATTTTATTTGAAGTAACAAATTATGAAAAGAATTAATTTTAATAAATCCGAAGTGATTAAAATGAACTACAAAATAATAATGAATCAGTAGAAAGTCACAAAAGATTCATTGTTGCAAAATATTTTAATAACAGATTTACTGTGTATTAATATTTGCAGTGATGAATAACAATAGGAGCTGCAGCAATTGCAGTACAAATTGCACAAATTGCAATGGAAAAATCACTGTAAATACTCGCAACCAAAGGATCGAATACAGAGCCAGGACAGCCATTGCATTGAGTATGAAACCCAACAAAATTTTATTTTCGTATCGCAATTCGGTACCAAACCCTTTGTTATTACATATTGAAGGAATATACAATATGTGAATATTAAAATAAATATTTAGTGAAGTACAAAATACAAAAAAACTCCACATGACAGCATTTTATAATCAATTAAGATCCTTTTTAAGGAGCACAGCACATTTTGTTTGTATTTTGTAATAAAAAGTTGTGACTGCTCTTATTTTTTATACAATTATACATAATATAGCAAATTTTATATTAATTAAAAGTGATTTATTTATTGTAATATATAGGAGCTGCTATGTTTTATCAGCAGAAGCTACAAATATATACTCATTTGATGTCACAGTCGATTGAATAATCACTCTCACCATTACAAAGGTGGATGGATGGATGATGTATTGTAATCCAATCCAATTCAGACTTCAGACACTGGAGATAAGAGAGAGAAACTGCATATTATGTGCTACGGGAATGCCCGGCACTAATGCTCAAGGAGTAGATACACTTAGGAGGGTATTTCATGTATAATTGGGATTTAAGGATAGGAAAAATAGACTCTGTACTATATTTTATTAAAGAAATCGGAATTGGAGAAATACTCTAATGCGATTAAGTGGCATAATAGATATTTTAGATCACAGTTATACTAATAATAATTACCTATTCGTCTTTATTATCGATTAAAATGATTTCCAATATTTTCAAATAGATTCCGATCATTATGACCTTGCTGTTGAACCGGGATCTTATTGATTTTAAATACAAAACTTTACCACAATCTTTTAAAACTGTTTTGCAGCTTTTCATCAACTTCCAGCTATTAGCAATTTCATTCTGAAGCAAAATATTTCAAAGGAATAGTATAACCAACTGTTATCCTTAGTTCTTATTGTTTTTTTTTTATTATATATACAAAGTTTTTGTGATATGCACAAAAAGAATATAAAAGTGTACAGCTACAAAAAACAATTATTGCTTTCTGTATTTATTTAAAGTTTAAAAAAAACCATAACTAAAATAAAATATTAAATTACAGTTCTTCACCATCACAAAAAATCAACTAAAAACTCCATTCCTGTAAGGATACGAGCAATCTATTTGCAGGTTTTTGGTAGCAAATTTTGCACTGGGCACGTAATGCATGTGGAGTTGGAAGGTTTCAGCAAAGGTGCAAAATGTAGCAATTTGCCGGTTAACCAAACTGTACGGATTGAACAAAATTGAACAATTAAAGTAGGAGTAAATGGAACACATGGTTGGGTTTGTAACCCTTAAAACACAACTACCGAAACTTTTTGTTTAGTTGGTCGTTGGGAAAAGTTTGAGGAAGCATGTGCTTTCCAGACTACTATTAAAGTATCATTCGTGCATCTATTGGCTTTAAAATCATAGCAATTCCTATTAAATAAAAATGAACTTTATTTTTGTAATAGTTTCAAATTCGAGTGATTTTATGTTTATTTATTCATTTTGTT